TATGTTTTTATTTTTGTCTTTTATTTCGATCAGACTGTGTTTGTTTTTGTCGTTTATGTTTATTTTTGCCAGGCTCTTGCATTAGGATTGGGCGATGAGGGGTCTTTCCTTACCGCGTTAGGCTCATTTAGACCCATTACAGGATCAGCGAGCCATATTGCTTTTTACAGGGTGATTGGCTCTAAGTCTGGTTCAAGGGTCGGCGGGTGAAAGTGGTCCTTTTATCTCTTTGTTCCTTTTCTGAATGTTGTGATATCAATTTAAGTCGCCTTTTGCCAAAAAAAATTACTTTATAGCTTAAAAAGGGAAAACTAAACCAAAACTACTTCACGCGTCAAAGATACCTCCTGTATGCTACAGAAGCATTTAGTGTCTAGGCTTCTTATTTTTGTATAAGTTAGATTTATTTAGTACATATCTACATTTATAATTGGAATTTTTAATCGGAATTTTATGAATTTAGGACCCGAAAGATAGATGAATTATCAACCCGGGACCTGAAAGATGAAATGTATCGATATAGGACCTGAATGATGGAAAACTATCAATTTAGGACTTAAATGATAGGAAATTATCAATTTAGGACCTAACTTGTCCGAAATTTTATTAATTTTTTTATCTTAAATTTTTTAAATATTATTTAGTTTTATGAAACTAATAAACTTTTGTGAAGAAAAGTTTATCAAAAATTAGCAATGGAATTAATAAAAAATTAAATAAATCAAAACCTATGAAATGTTAGGTCCTAGATTGATAGTTTTTCATTATTCGGGTCTTATACTGATAGATCTCATCTTTTAGGTCCCGAATTGATAATTCATCTATCTATCGGGTCATGAATTGATAAAATTCCTTTATAATTACACATTATATATATATATATATATATATATATATATATATATATATATATATATATATATATATATATATATATATATATATATATATATATATATGGTGGGGGTTGAGTGGGGGCAGCTGCCCCCTGTCCCCACGTTGGATACGCCCCTGCATGCAACACTAGTGAATTAGATAATTTGTACGAAATACTTAATACGATGAATTTACTTCTAGTGAATTTCCTTCTTTTTAACTTATAAATGAGATGATAATTTGATTGAAATATCTATCGCTATTTCATTAGTAATACTCCAGATTTTTTAATTTTTTTCTTAAATATTGAATGCCCATCAAGTGTTTGAAAAAATTTCAAAGTGAATGTTCATTGTTATCTTGATGAATTATTTCATTGTTTGATGCATTTGTATAAAAGTACTTATTATAAATAAATTTTCTTTATATTTCTCATTATCAAATATAATCATAATTAAATAAAAGAATTAATCATATTAAAGATATTTGCAAATAATATACTTTTATCTTATACTCAAATGAGTATAATGTTTACGGGAAATGTGAATTGATATAATGTTCTAAAATGAGTACTCATGGAAGCTATTAAAATGAGTTTTGTATTATACGACATTGAGTATATCGTTTAAAGTAAATGTGCATGGGTGTAAAAGTGTAAAAGAAATGATATGGGGCATTTTTTAAATATTTTACACAATAAAAGTAAAACATTGCGCAAAGCCGCAAATTACGTAAAAAGATAATGAAAATTATGAAGTTGATTGATGTTTACTTCAAAGAAAGCATATTCATTGAAATCATGGCATGTCATTGTCATCCTGTTCTAATGTTAGAGCTCGTTTGGTAACACGAAAATCGTTTAATTCGACTGATTCTGCTGAAATTTATGAAGTTCTGGCCGAAGTGGCTGCATTGGGTGATTCAAGAAAAAAATATTTTCAAAATACTATCCTCCGTATCATAATAGTTGCAACATTGGAATTTACACACTATTCATTTACTCTACTTTGACTACATTTTATTTATTAATGCATGTGAATTATTTTTTTTTTTGAAAATTATTGTTGAATTCGTCTCATTATGAAGTTTCATAATCATATTTTTTTTAAAGTTTTTTACTAATAGATAATTAAATATAATGACGGTCAAAGTTGTGCATTGACAAGCGTGAAAAAAAGGAATGTTGCAACTAAAAAAGAACGGAGGAAGTATATTATATTAATAAAATAAAGAAAAAAATATGTAAAGATAGATAAATTGGTCATCTACAATAAATTCAGCCAATACAACCATAAAAATAACTCCAACCATACTTTTTCTTATTATTACACAATTCAGTGCGTAAAAACAAAAGTTACGTGTTTGGTAAAAAAGTTGGTTGATAAACCTGATAAGCCGAAAAAAAATGTTACCAAACGACCTCTTAGTGTAATCGTGTTTTAATAATATAAAAACTTTTGTGTGAACTTTTTGTACCGTTTATATAAGCAATTTGTTCAAAGATGAATAAACTATCCGTTTACAAAACAATTGTTAGATAAATTATCAAATGTACACAGAAGAATGTACAAAGTCTTCAAAATAACGTACAAATAGATTTTTTTAATAATATTATCCATCAAGATTCGATGATTTTAAAATTAAAAAAGAATAGTGATAACCAAAATCTCATGCCATTTTTAGCGAATCATGGAAAGATTGTCACATTTCTTATTCTTCTTATCAATTTAGATTAATCACTTTTACATCTTCATTGGCCTTTTTATTTCAATATTGCTAAAATGAATGAAAAAGACAAAAATGTGACATCTTTTAAATTTTTCAAAAAAGTGACTAAAAGTAATTTATTCCTTGTATTTTATCATACATTTATTATTTTAATATTCCTTTAATATGAGTCAAGTGACAAATACTAATAAACATTGTGAACTATTCATTGGATATGATCAAAATTTTGACTCTAATTGATTTATTTTACTCCCTTCTCCCTTTATATTTAGGATAACCCTATTTTTCAAGTCAATAATGTTAAACGTTGATCGAATATATATTTATACACAGTAATATTGATAATATAAAAATGTTATTTGTTAAAAGTACCCTATCGTAAAGTATAAATTTATTAAGTTTCACATAAATATATTAGTTAGAATAATTGATCAAAGTTTCTCATATTTGACTGGAAAAGTCAAAGATGGCTAAACAAAGCGGGATGAAGGTAATATGAACTAACCACCACCATAAATATGGGTGATAAATCACCATCTTTTGGAGTATGAATTTATGGTTATATTGTGGTTTATGTGCTTATTGTTGTTATAATTATTACTCCCGTTGTACCCCTATAATTGTCCCATTTTTTCATTTTTGGATGTACATTTATTATTGTCTCATACCATATTTGGTAACATTTGTGTGGCACTAATTCATTCTTACTTTATTTCCACTTTATCAACTTATTACCAACCACATAATTCTACTTTTCTTAAAAACCACATCACTATTCCTTTCGTACCAATATTAGGGGGACGGAGGGAGTAATTGTTTTGGGCTAATTATATGATGTTGGATGATAATAAGAAGTGTTGAATTGGAATTGAGAATATGTGGAGTTACAATTTCAAAAATGATGTTTGTACCCACTCTTATACTCACTTTTATACTCACTCATGTTTGTGAAAGCTTTTTTTAGTCTATAAGTTCCGTTCACAGACAATTTTTGTGTGTGCAAAATTTTCATAAACAAAATAACACATATTTTGTCTGTGAACCGGATTCACAGAAAAAAAAATTTCACAAACATGGTGGGTATAAGGGCGAGTACATCAAGCATTGTTGTTACAATTTTACATTATTTTGGATATTCACGTGTATTCTTGGTGTACGATTAGAGTCTCGTTCATGTGAACTAAAGTTACATTATTTAAAAATTTGATCTTTGAATTAGGGCTCTACTCAAATGTTTAAGATTAATTCTGCATGATTAGAGACCTATTACGTGTATTAGAGTCTCACTATTTAAAGAATTTGATGTTGTACAATCATTTTGGAATCTAAATTGAGATGGTATTTATTTAGAGGATTATACTCCATTAAGTAAACAATAAGAATAAGAATAGAGCAACACAATAGCTTCTAAGGATATGTTTTTCATGTTTTTTTCTCCTACTTTTTCTCTAGACTTTTTCATTAAGGTTATTTAACCGTTTTGCCACTTTTTTTTCTCCCTTTTCCATTATAGTTGTTCGATCTCCGATCCTTTCTATTTGAAACTAATTAAATGTTTTAATAATAATGATAATATAATTTTTGTTAACCAATACCAGAATGTCATGTCAGAAGTTTATAATCCTATCTTACTTAACAAAATAATAGATTTAAATATATAATAAAAATTGGATTCCTTATATGTGTCACGGCTACTGCGTAAATGTTAACTTACCATAATGCACATTTAAACTTAAATTTCACTATAGATTTGATATATCATTGATTTATAACTCGATTTTTACAACAGTTTATTTATATGCCATTTATGTTGTCATAGAAAGATCGTAAAATTTTATGATTTTTTATATATCTTTTCTAAAATTGGTGTCATATGAAAGATCATAAAAAGTTACTCCATATAAATTTTGATGCATTCTTTGTAAAAATTAGAGTACAAATAAATAAGTTAGAATACATTAAAATAAGAATTTTCTTCTCCATCCATTTCTCCAAATGAGCATTGATGCATTGTAGTGAATAACAATGATGAACGGAGTCAACTTATATGAATTAAATGTTATAGTAGTAGTGATAAAAGAATTTTTATTAATCAATACGTAGTACGTATAATTTTTAACTCGATTTTGCTATATAAAAAGTATAAATCATGAATGTTGATATATTTTTTGTAAAAATTGAATTATAAATATAAATGTTATAACACTTAAAAAAGTGAGATTTTTTTTCTCCTCTTTGCTCCAAATCAGCCGAGATGCAAGCTGTGACAAACCGTGATAATAGAATTAATTAATTAATTTTTTTAGTTGTAATAATAATAAAATTTGCATTATCCAATAGAAAGCTGATATTTCATATTTGAGCCATTAAGGACAAGGAGGGTAAATAAGTAAATTAGACGTCAGTCAACCATCAAGTCGTCGTGGCTTCATATTTTTCCTTGCAAACACGTTCATATCAGAAACTGCTTTACCTGTATTTTAAAAGATCATTTTATCCTTCATAAAACAAACACCAACTTCTTGTGGAAAACCAAAAAGAGGTAGCTATGGGGATTCTGGGTTACTCCTTCTTGGTGCTTGGGGTCCTATATGCTGTTGCAGCACAGCCGATTACAGACCAGAAAGAAGGTTTTGTTCTTCTCCTAATGACTAAAATGATGCCCTAAATATAGTTCTTAAATTTTCTTGTAAGTGATCTGTGGCGGAGCTAGAAATGGAAGGTTAGGGGGGCCGGAGCTTGAAAATTTTTTCTTGGGGGGCTGAGGCCTCCCCAGTCTCCACCTCTCTCACTGATAAACAGTTGAATTGTAATCAGAATTTTTGTTTTAGAATAATAATATGAACTGGCTATTATAGACTTTAAGACTTAAGATTAGGTGGTTATAGTTCATAATTAAAGAATCTTTTATAGTTTCTTGTCTGCATTATGTTATCCATGTAGAAAGTATTAAATGTTTATGGGGGTTTTTCGGTCAGTTGATGCAATTAAGAAGATAGTTGACCACTGGAATTTAAGCAGCAAGGTGAACCTCAATGAGCTGGACCCTTGCAACCGAACAGCAGCTTGGGCTTCAGAACAAGCTAATCCCAGGATTGCTTGTGACTGTTCTGCCACTATCTGCCACATTACCCACTTGTCAGTTTATTCATTCTTAAACTTTAACAATTTCTCTTTATAATAATAATAATAATAATAATTACTCCATATTATTATTATGAGCATCATCGTAATTATTAAAGAAATTGCCTTAAAATGGGCAAAACAATGACGTTTTCCCTAAACCAGAGAGAAAAGTATACTGTTTTTTCATCTAAATAGTACATAATGTCATCCTAAAAACATAACGGGATATTGTCATGATAATATGACAACGTCATGAAAACAATATGATATTAAGATGACACTACTTACTGCTTACTTTTAGAGTGAGATCTCCTAATTAATGACACTAATAAGTAGTCATCATACTAATTAATGACTAGTTACCATTAGGAGATCTCACTCTACATAAGTCTCCTATTACTCATATTTAGGAGATCTCACTATACATTAGTATTTGTATTAGTATTATTACCATTATCATCATTATTAGTCATTAATTATGTCAATTAACATTTTGTGTTAATTATGCCTTGTTAAACAGGAAAATATATGCCTTAGATATCATTGGTGAGATTCCGAGAGAACTGTTTGCTCTTAAAGAACTCATGGACCTGTGGGTGATCCTGGTTTCAATTCAGTTGTTAAATTTTTTATTTCTGTTCGGTTCAGAAGTTTTCTAATTTGGGTTTAATGTGGATTGCTTTTCTGGAACTACTTTAGAAATTTGGGCCAGAATGTATTGAATGGCTCTATCCCAGCAGAGATTGGGCAGTTATCCAAGATGCAATACTTGTATGTACCTTAATTGTACGGATGTATCATACATTCTTAGCACTTGATATTTGCTTTCTTGATATAACCCATAACAGCTCAAACCAGTTTTCTCATCGTTTTTGGTTAATAGGAGTTTAGGCATTAACAATCTCACTGGTAAAGTTCCTCGCGAGCTGGGGAATCTTAGTAATTTGATCTCCTTGTAAGTGGAGTAGTTGTGTCTCTTATCTTATGAATTGATTTATTGCCAAATTACTCTATTAATATTGGAAACATTTCCAGAAGTTTTGGCTCAAACAATCTGCATGGGTCCTTGCCGCCAGAACTGGGAAACATCACATCCTTAGAAGAGCTGTAAGATTGTATATCTGCAAGATATTTGGAATTTGGAACATTTTTTATTTACTTTTCTCAATTGACACATTGTGTGATCACTTAGGTACATTGATAGCAGTGGAGTAACTGGATCAATTCCTCAAGAGCTGTCAAAGTTGAAATCCCTCAAGATATTGTAAGCATTAGTATACACTATTGTGTTGGGGTGAATTTTGCATTCTGGATGAATTAATGTGGAACAGATTGGAGTTTACATTTTTCTCCGTACGGATATTCTGTTTCAGATGGGCGTCAGACAATCGCTTTACGGGGAATCTTCCGGATTTCATTGGAAGTCTGAGAGACCTCACAGTCTTGTATGCTCAAATTTAGTGTTTGGTTTATCCAAAATTAGGTTCCGATTTTCTTATGCGCGATATTTGCTTAATCATGTGATGCACCATTGTTATCACCAACAGAAAACTGGAAGGAACACTAATGGAAGGCCCCATACCAAGGAGCTATGGTGCACTAACGAAGCTCGATGACCTGTAAGGAATATTGCATTACAATAAAACAAACAATTGCTCATGATGAGCTAGTGTTAGAATATAGAAATAACATTATGTACATTTAATGGAATAGTATATGTTTGATGTTATGCGATGGGGAGTGATTTATCTTGCTCCAAAAGAAGGTGGGCCGTGGGAACAGACCAATCTTAAAATTCTTGTATTCTTTTTTAGTCTTAGTTGGATTCACTAGAGATAAGTCACTCACTCAATTGTTTTCATTATCCTGTGCACTAGAGATAATTAAAATACCCTAGAGATAATCTAATGTGCACTCACTCACTCAATTGTTTTCATTATCCTGTGCAGGAGAATTGGTGATCTCAGTCATACAGATTCCTCTCTAAGTTTCACAGAAAACTTGACCAGTCTTTCTATATTGTATGGTCAATAAATGTTAAATATCTTAAGCTTTGACGATGATGATTAACTTGCCAAAAGTCTGTTTTAAATTCTTCTTGACTTGCAGATCGTTGAGAAATTGTGGAATATCTGGTCAACTACCAGAATGGCTTAGCTCGTTTACAAACTTGAAAACCTTGTAAGTTCTTTTGTGAAAAGAGGAAATTATTTTATTCAAAACCTTTAATTTCTTAGTACTTACCAATTAATTGTTTTCAGTGCAGTTTTTCGTAATCTATTTATTTCATATACTAAGAATTTTTCTCATTTAACAATGGGAATGGTTAGAATGTAATTTTATGTGTCATTTCCTTTTGTTGAAGGGACTTGAGCTTCAACAAGTTGACAGGTGAAATACCAAAGTCATATAAAGACTTTGCCTCATTAGAGTACTTGTAAGTTCAGTTCTCTCTGACTTCACAAAATATAGTTACAGCAGTAAGATTCTTTTTACCAGCAGTAAAGGACTTCAAACTCTAGTATTTCTTAAATGATGGGTAGACTTCTGCATAAATATGAAAATGTACTTCTCAGGTATCTTGGAAGCAATGATTTGAGTGGAGAGCTACCCACAAACATCACAAATCCAAAACTTATTGCCTTGTATGTACTTCTGGAAGTAGTGAATAATACATTTACACTCATTTGTGTGTGCTATTTTTACTTTTTTTACAGAACCAAAATGAGGATTTCAATGACAAAAAATCTTAAAGTGGTATCTCATTTTGTTTTTCTCTTGCTTTGGTCTTGTCTCAGAGATATCTCATTTAATCTGATTCATGGAACTATACCTGCCAATAAGTTAGCTTCATCAGTGTGAGTCTCTACTCTGACAACCCTCAACTTTCAAGAATCAATGTTTGGAACCATCTAAATAGGAAAAAACATCTCCATGCATGTCTTTTTCTTTCAGAAATGCGGTGGGTACTATGATAACTGGCGAAAGGTCACTTGACAATAGGTAAGTTTTAGAGAAAACAATGGGTAGCTTTGCATATTAAACTAACGAGTTGCCCATCATATGATTCATATCCACACACATATATGATAAGATGCATTTCAGTATACACCTACTAACTCACATAAATGGATTATTTTTAGGGATATTAAATACAGAAACATATGCACAGGGTGCTACCTCGTTTAACAAAATATGAATCTCCTACTGTTTTTTTTCTCGTAAGAAAAAATAAGATACTAGATAAAATGTACCATGGTTTTGTACGATATATACTAGATATAATGTAAATTAAGATAATAGAATTTTTAAGACACAATGATTCTGTAAGATAATAGAAAACATGTGCTAGACTTAATTTTGATAAATTAAAGTAATAGATATTAGATATAATGTCAATATCTATATTCTATAGCAATAGAGTCTACCCTCATGGCCTTACATTACCAAAATTTATAAATTTATCAATATCATTGTAGTTTATGTAAAATATCTATTATCACAATGGTACTCTATTATTAGGGGTGTAAGTTTGGTACATGATAAGATTTACTCAATTATGTGCTTGATTAATCTATTTATTAAGAGTAATATTGTAATTTTAATGATTTATGAGTTTTATGTTGTAAGAATACTAAAAAGTTGAAGGCATTAATTAGACCGCCTAGGTTGCATAGCACCTAAAGCAGGCTGAACTTGAACTTTCAGTTTTGGTAAATGCAATATCATCAAATGTCTTATATTGTTAAAAGTTGACCATAGATTCTGACATCTTAGTTTTCTCTGAAACAAATTTTATAGCCTTTGCTTGATAAAAAATGCAGTGTGCACTGAAAAAGCCTCAGCCTGTAAGTACTCTATTTTTTCAAGTTTAGTTTGTCAGGTAACAAATGGATCAGTCCATGGAACCAACTGATCTTCAATGCACTGTCTTTCTCCTTGCAGCTTCATTTTCAATCAAGTGTGGTGGAAAGCAAACAGTATCAGTGTCTGGCACTAAATTTGATGATGATTCGGAGACACTCGGTCCAGCATCATTCTACATGGGCTCGAATGAGCACTGGTCTGTGAGCAGTTCTGGGATATTCATCAACAACCCAAATGGCCCGATATATACGGCCCAGACAGATTCTCAAATCACAAACACTTTGGACTCCGAACTCTACAAAACAGCCAGGATATCTCCAACCTCATTGAGGTATTATGGCCTTAGGTTAAAAAATGGCACATACAGTATTGATCTTCATTTTTCTGAGATACAAATGGATGACTCTCAAGACTCTTGGAAAGGCCTCGGAAGGCGCTTATTTGACATCTACATTCAGGTGCAGTAAAATTTGAAGGAATAGGTGTTAATTAATTCATTCCATACCAATCAGTTGTAACTTGTAAATATACAAACTCACATACAACGAACTCCAAAATCAACATGGAACCCAAAACTCTCCGCGTCTCTCATAACTTTGCCAACTTTCCTTTTTAATTGTCTCACTAACTTTGTCACTTTCCATTTTAAATAAATAATTTGTGATTCCTGCTAATTCTCTCTCCTCTACACAAAACTCTATCACACAGTTTTTACTTTATAACTCTTCGTGACATACAATTTTGGCAAAGTTATAAGGGACAAAGAAAGTACACTTTTTCTGTTGTTAGTTGTTTTGTATATGTATATTGATGATTTGATATATACTTGTATCACTTAAACCAAAGGGGGAAAGAGTTGTTCAAGATTTCAATGTCAAAGAAGAGGCCCGGGGGTCAAAGAAGGCATTGTTGAAGAATTTCAGTGCAAATGTGACCAACAATGTACTGGACATTCATTTCTTCTGGGCTGGGAAGGGAACTTGTTGCATTCCCTTCCAGAGCACTTTTGGCCCTATAGTTTCAGCTATTCATGTTTCTCAAGGTTGTTAGATAATCCAAGCCTCTTTTGTCATGAACTTTTCAATAAGCCAATACATTCATCACCTCATCACTATGTGTCGTTAATCTTTGCAGTGTAGCAGCAAGAAACGTGTCGGAAAGATTGTTGGGATCATGCTTGGATCTGTAGTCACATTGTTGGTGTTTTTTTCCGTTTTGTATCTCTGGTGGGCAAAGCAAAATAGTTAGTTAGGCCAATAACAAGACCCTTGGGTTGTTAGCAACACATTGGAATCTTAGTGGGAGAAAGATGGACCATTGTAATCTGTAACTGTTATTTGAGCTTGGGTTTCTAGTCAAATCAATCATCATATATCTATTGGTGGCAGAATGGAATATTCTTAACTAATAAAACAAGTTGAAATATGCAGAATAAATAAAATTACTTTCATCTAACACACGTTCAGCGAGTTGGAAGGTGGCAGACAAGTTCAACTAAACTATAGGGGTAAATTGAAGTAGATTAAGATGAAACTGAAAGAGAGATACACGGGAGACACTTCGAGTAGTCTCCCACATTCCCAAGACCAAGTCCCCAACTAATTTCTGCCTACCTTCTCCCTCTTCTATTACCTCTATTTATTCTTTTCCAAATGAGGCGTCACTCAATCTATTTAATTACTTGGCCCAGCCCACTATTACATTTTATTACAATATTAAGCCCATAAGTCCAGGTCTCTATCACAGATCAGACCAGGACTGCTAGGTTCTTGTCTGGAAACTGAGCTAACCTTCTGTTTCAAACCTCAAATTAGTCTAAAAAGTTCTGGTCCCGAATTAAACAAAAGGCTAAAAAAAGAATCGAAACCACATTGACCCAAGAATTGATACCGGTATACCTGGTTATGGTTCCAGTTCCTTGACCTACCTAGAATGTGACCACACCCACCCCCACTCAAATTATAAATCATCCGAATAGTGAACTAACTACTGTATAAAAGAAAAAACATATAAAAATCTTGTGTCACTTATTCTACAAGTCAATATTTAGTTTCAACGCGAAGTGTATGACTTTTGAGGGGTTTTACCGGTTAAATCTTTAAATTTTGCAACCTATATCAGGTTATAATGCTATTTCAAAATAACACTGTTCACAAGACTCTATTTGCCTTTCAAGAAGTTCCAAGTAGGGGTGCTAATCGCGAGCTCGAGTTCGACTTAGATGAAGTCAAGCTTGATAAAGAAAGTTCCAAATGAGTCAAGTTCTAGCTGTATTTGAGTTTTATCTATTTTTAAAAATGATACTACATATATTTTTAAACAAAAAGTTCGATTTGTTATATATAAACACATACGTGCAATCATAATTAAATTTTTTAAGCATAAAAACATTGTTTTAAAAATCTCACCTAGTTACCTCTTAGATATGGGAGCTAAGGACTCTCTTTGCCATCTATGATTTATTTAAGCCTAAGATGAACTAAGTTCAATTGGACCTCCATAAATCTACTTGAGCATTGTCTGAGAATGCCTATAATTTGCATAACACTTTTATAACATTGTCTAAGACATTATGCAATACATGAATTTCTAGTATATTTTTAGTACAAGTTAAGTATAATTTTATGCATGAACTCATACTATTGAATATATCGTGTAATGTCATATGTACTGAATCTAAAATAATCAACACTAAATCATAATCAATGTATATTGCTTGAGCTTGACTTGGTTTGGATGGAGTCGAGTTTGAGTCAAGTTTGAATGAAGTCAAGTTATGTTCGAGTAAAAACCGAGTCGATCTCGAATTCTCGAGTAGCTTGTGAGTCGGCTTGCTTGACAAGCATCCCTAGTTCCAAGAATTGTATGGAGTATCAAAAAGTGAAAACAGTAGTACCCTAAGCAGGGTTTCATTTTGCCTATCAAGAAGTTACAAGATTTGTATAGAGCACATGGTTTCCCTAAGCAAGGTTCCTAAATCTGTAGTGTCTTTATATATGAACAAAAGAAATGAATTCGTGTGATTAGTAATTGACTTATAAGTATATAAACGTAATATCCATTGTACTAATTAGATTAATACATCGTACTTCACATAATGACAATACTAAAAAAGATCCAGGAATTACAAAATATTTAAAATAAATATATAGAAAAGAAATATAATACTCCGTATAAGGGTTGTGGACTTTAAGGAGACCCCCCTGCAGGAATGCTTGGCGATCACCAATCTCTTGAGCACAGTTTTCCACTCCACTCACCTTCTCTTCCCACATTGGCATATCAACAAATAGGAAGAATAAAACCACACAAGAAAAAATAAAGTAACGAGATAATATTATTCAAAAACAGAACAAGAGTTAAAAAAATCTAATGCTACTATATAAAAGCTCATAAAATCAGTAGGAAGTGGGGTAATACCCAGCAGGTGGTACTCCCAAGCCATTTACTGGGGGCATTCCATAAGGCATCATTGGTTGCTGGCCTGGGGTAATGTATCCACCTGGGCTGGTGATCTTTCCCATACTCGATTGCCCCTGCATCCCCTCTCTAGCATACTGCTGCCACACCATCTGTTCATGCACCAGAAACTGCTGTTTCTTCTCCAGATCTGCCATTTGCACGTAAGAAGGGGGAGGAACGTTCAAAGAAGCAGCAAACGGATCCTGCCCAACAGCCTGGACAGTGGTACCGTCAGGAGCAGGAAGTGCCAACACTGGAGTTGTACTCTTCCCTGGTCCAGGCAATGCGACGCTGCTGGCACTACCTCCACTCAGCTGGGTAGTGCTCACATGCTGCCTGACAGTCCCCTGATCGTACATTCCATTCAGCAATAACGGGTCAAGTCCACCACCAAGTGCTGCCTGCTGCTTTGACAGGTTACTTGCTGACTCGACCAGAGTCAACTCCCAATCGGCTTTACCTCTCTCGGCTGCTGGGTTCTGCCAAGCAGAGGTCACTGCCTCATTCTCCCCATTAGAAGGGAATGCTTCCCATGATCCATTCGCATTATTTCCTCCTTGCCCAGCAAATAACGCCAAAGCGAACTTATTTCCCTGATCATCTGCGGTCACACCTTCCTCCCTCAAATCCACTAAACTCCCTGCCTCAAGAACCGGTGCTGGCTTAGGAAGCTCAGGTTTTGGTTCGGGCGCGGGTGGAGGAGGAGTATAATTCTCGGGTGGAGGCAAGGCTTTGATCTCATTCATATCAAGTGGAGGTTCTTCTTTGATTGTTGTCGGGCCCACCGCTTTTCTTTCTGGGCTCTTTATCGCCTTTGCCCTATCCCTCACAAACTCCTCTAACGTCTCCAACAGCTTGCTGGTTATCCTTTGCACATCAGGGTATTCTGAAGCCCTTGCAATTCCAATCTCCTGCGACCAGTTATAAAACCCGACTAGCTCATCAATCTGCTTTGCGGCACTGGCATAGGCATCAAAGGCCTTAACACAATCTTGATACTCCATATCGAAAAATCTGTCCAACAACACGGCCAAAACTTCGCAGATATCTGCATAAAGCTTGAAGCTTTCCTTTATCAAGGTGTAGAGGGCCGCCAGAACCATCCTCTCGTTCTTAGCCAGGCCAGTTGGTCGGCATGACAAGAAACGGTCCAGTAGTCTCTGTAAATGCATCATCTTCCCGAAAATTCTCTCTGGCTTCATTTCCCTCAATGGTGTAACATCCTGAGCTGCTGATTCTTTGACATCCCCATATGATCTCGATCTTCTCATCCCATATGCAGAAGGCTCACTATAATTGTAATTGTTTCCCCTATTTGATCCGGGTGGCGATCCCCACTCTTGGTCAACTGCACCCCCGGTTCCATTCTGTTTCCTCTCAAAAAGCATCATCTCCAGCTTCTGGTCCAAATACAGTGCATAAGTCCTCACAAAGGCAGATTGATCCCACGAATTTGAATGTGCCTCGTCCTTAAAGTCAGAGAGATTCAATAGCCTTGTGCCCCTTCTTCTGGTGGCATGCATCATTTCGTGCTGAAACACGGTGGCACCATCGCTGAGCAAGCGATGAATAAGAATCAAACACTTCACTGCCACAACCCAGTCCCTGGTTTTGCCAAGTCTCTTGGATACCAAGGACACACATTCACTCACATGGACCTGGGAGAAGGAAGACAACTGAAGAATATCTCTGATGTATTTCTCCCCGGCAAGATCATCTTTGTGGCTAGTGGCCTTTACAATGGCAACTTCCAGCTCAGGAGTCATATTGCTAGCCACCTTGGCTATCCCAATGCTTGTCTGGTCCTTCACAGTACCAATTGCCTTACGAAGCGCCATTGCACCAGAAAGATTTACGCTCTTCCTCCTGCAAAACCAGAAACCCCTATATCTCAATAAATAGCACCAATAAACTAGAAAGCACACTTAGCAATGAAGTCAAAAGGTATGAAAATCAAGTAAAACCAACTTAAGCAAAGGATAGCCATGAACAGATCTTGGATCTACGCCTTGTAAAGATCATATATTTTTTTCATCAGCGATTTATTCTAAAACAATCGCCTACATCCATCAAAAGACAAACTACTTAGCTTTTTTAATATATGCATGCAAGTATGTACAAATTCCTGCTTTTCCCTGAAAATTCGTTTAAAAACAAGCTTACAAAATTTGACAGTCAAAATATCCACATCTACAAAAACGAAAAAGGACAAATTAATGGGGAATACTATGAAAACAAAATCCTTAGCTGAGTTGGTTCAATTTCCAAGAACTTCCGCAATTTATAAAAAAAGCATAGATTTAATTCTCTAACCCAAAGTAAATAAGAATGCATAAAGAGCTGAGGAAATACTTGACTCACCCTGAAAACAAGTGGTGAAAAAAATCAGCTATATAGCGCAGATCGATCAATGACGATAGGAAATACTCTGTATTTTGATATTTGAAGGTGGTAGGAGGGCGGGGTATGGGAAAAGACGATAGATCTGGTCTACAGAAAGGAGGATCTGAGCTGAACTGAAAGTCGGTCGTTAAAGCATTGCCGAAATGGGTTCTTACTTCTCCGGCCGCGGGATTTTCTCTCTCTAGATTTCCTGCGATATTACAGGGAGTTTGGATTAAAAGGCAAAAATATAAATTTGACAACTTCAAGCCTGATTTTAGTTTGGAAAATGTTACACTCAAATGCTCAATTATAAAGTTCACGTATTTTTATTAGAATTATTTTTGACAAAAATAATTTTTTTGTTTTTTTTTACTCCAGTGGGAGTCTGTGGGAGACTGGAGTAATTAATCTAAGTTGAAACTCACTCCATTGAATTTCGAATCCGAGATCGCTGGACCGGACTGCTTCCTCATGACTAGGGGGCAGGAAAACCCGAACTGAAACCCGGAAACCGGCCCTGACCCGACCCGAATTATGATATCGATCCTGGTTTTTTCTTTTTGACCGGCCCGAATAAAAAACCCGGACCGAACCCAAAATTTCAGGCTCTTTAACGGGCCCTAAAATCTATAACCCGGCCCGGACCGATAAAACTCGAAACAATTAGCCATAATATAAAATCAATATAATATACCAAAATAATTTATAAATTAATTCTTAATATATGATTATAATCATGATGGACGAAAAAAATGACTTAATAACTTTTAGTGACTACAAATATGTTCAATTTATTTACCGTAATGACCATGAAAACATATTTATAGTAACTTTAATCACATTTTTATCCATAAATTTTATTTCATAACATTTTTAGAAAACCTATATTACTTATTTTTATGCATCTTAAACAAAATATTATGATAATTGTCTTCTTAGGATTTGAATTCTTGGTGATTTTGGAAACTAATATTTGTGATTTTTATTAATTTTATTTGCGGTTTGTACTTTTTATTAATTTTATTTGAAAATAGATTTTAAAATATAAAAGAAAAATGAGTGATTTCACGTTCGGGCTTTAACCGACCCAACCCGAACCCGGACAGAACCCGGGCTACAAAAAACCCGACTCGGATCGAATACAGTGGGCTTTTTCGGTCCTTAATTTTCATAACCCGATACCTTACGGGTAATTTCCGGGTTTAGCAAAAACCCGACCCGGACCGGATCGATCCCACCCCTAGGACTCATGACAAAAATAATAGTATCACACTATTAAACCATTGGCATGGTTGCGCCGTCCAAAAACTTAAACATGCACTCCATCCATATAAAAACAATGTTTAGATTATGTTAATGTTTTTTCCATGCATTCCAGTATCGTCAATAAAATACACTCAACACACGTTCTTACATACTAGTTTATTAAAAAAATAATTAAATTATTATAAGGAATTTAATTTTTTTGTTTTTTATGAATAAATATGAAATTAAAAAGATACACATTTTGATGTTAAAAAATAAAAATTTCGTTATTTTTTAGTTGTTTCATGTTTAATTAAAAAATGATTTCGTGTAAGATTCAGTTTTTATGGAGGCTCCAAGAATAAAAAATTTGTGTTTCATGTTTTTTGAGCCCAAGAAAGCTCCAACAATTAAAACTTTAAATTTTTTTACACTTTATATATATAATATTGATGTCATATCAAAGATCGTAAAAATTATGAATTTTGGTATATTTTATGAAAACTTTGGGTAAAAAATAAAAAAGTTATAAGAATTTTTTAAAAAATGACATAAGGATGATGTCATCCAAACAAATTCCTCTTTATATTTTACACCTTCACCCCTTTGTCACACTATATATACTAGGGGTGGGCACTACGGTTTACGTTTCGGTTTTCATCGGTTTGTGTTCACTTTTGTTTATTTGGTTTGAGAGATATTGTACCAAACTAAAACCATTTGTGTTTTAGTTTGGTTTCGATTCGGTTTCGGTTCAATTTCATTTGAAGTTCGGTTTACCAAAGTGAAAATTATTAGGTTCGATTTAGTTCGATTTGATTCGGTTTCTTGTGTTTACTATTTTATTTGATCAATAAGTTTTATATTTAAGAACTAGAAAATAAAAATAGTAGTCCATCTCATCTTCTTGTATTTACTATTTAAATAAAATCTAAGGGAAATAAAAGATAGACAAAGAAATAATAAAAAATTGTACAAATTAACACCTACTTTATCTTACTAAGACGGGTGACATTAAAATGTTTAACATCTTTTCAATCACTAGATAAAAGATTCACCTCTCACAAAAAATAAATTTATAATTGATTAATATTTATAATATCACATAAAATATTCAAAGAAAAACTAAATGAGTCAGTGGTACAAATGTTGTAAAATTCACAATTTTATTCAAATGAATCATGTAAAAAATATAAATGACATTTGTTGTTGTTATCGTCAAACATCTTTTCATACTGGTAGAGTACAAAATATAACAAATACAAATATGTCGTATTAGCTAACTTTGTCATAATGAATGTATGAAATGTGTAGAAGTTAAAATGATATATGTTGAACATGTATTTTTCATATCTAAATTATTTATTTATATCCTAAAGATGAAGAGTGAAGATAAATACAAAGTAATTTTATATATTATATTACAAGTTGTTGGGTGTTCGGTTCGATTTACGATTTCTTCGGTTTTAAATCAAACCAAATCATTCGATTTGAGAAAATTGTTATCAAACAGTTTACTTATTAGGTAAACCCAAACTACCAATTTTTGGTGTGATTCGGTTAAACCAAACCATTTTGTTCAACCCTAATATATACACAAAACACGTTTTTACATACTAGTTTATTAAAACATTAATTAAATTATTATAAGGAATTTTATTTGAAGCTAGTTTATTTACAATGAGTCTATATCCTACAATTTTTTGAAGCTATAGCTACTTTAACATCAATTCATCTTCTATATCTCCTTGCCTTTTGGTCCAAAACAGGAAACTCGTAGCCCGGGAAAGCTATGAAAGACACTCAAGCAGGAAAATAGAAAGTACTAAAATGGAAAGTGCAAAGGAGGGTTGATAGCTAGAAATAGCATATCGTTCATTCGGAATTCGACTTGCCTTTTATAGGCGTTTACAAATCGTAACCGCTATCAATAATAATGACTAATTCATTACAACATGAATAGGGAATTAAATACATAATTAAACAACGCATTAATTGATTGATCGTTACTCTTCGTGGCTTGTAAGTCGGTTGGACTGGCAGGCTCCCCGCTTGGCTGGTAGGCAGACTCCAGGTTATGGACTTGGATCCACGGGTCCAAGTTCAGGGCATGGGCCGATTAGGCTATGGGCCTAGTCTCATAACTTTATCATGACCCCCCCCCCCCCCCCCCCCCTTAGTCGAGTAGTAGACTTGGCTAAGAGGAAGTAGTCCAAGTCAGTTGCTCTTCTCCGAGACTGGAAGATCTCCGCCCTTGTCCATGTCGGGGAGATGCCACATTATAAACCTTCATTAAGAAAAAATCCAGCGGGAAAAAATCCCAATGAAGGGAAATAGAGTACACCTCACACCCCCAAGATGAAGTAAGAGGTGAAATCTTAAGCCTTTATTGCAATGGTCGCCATCTACAAAGAGGATGGCTAGAACCGTTCTTCTCGTCGGGCTCGGACTCGTCAGGTTCGTCTTTTGCTTCCTTGAAGACGGTAAGTCCCTCAATCCCCCACTCATTGAGGCGAGTGGAGTAGAGTCATCTTCGCTCAGTCGTACCTACACATAAAAACAACAAGTGTAGAACATGGCGCTTGGCCTTGGTCTCAAACCGCGGCTCAGTGAGTAAGTGAGTCGGACTCACTACTCAAAAAGAGCGGCATCAAGTTCCCAAGTTAGGCATCAACCCAGCCTCCGAAAGAAAGATTGAATCCGCGAGCGATGCTTCGAACGGATAATCCAACCCCAAAGAACTAAAGTATATCAACCCTTTCGGGAAATGTGAATGCTAATTAAGTGACAAAATTGCTCGGAAGAGCGTGGCTTTAGGCCCCTAACAAGAGTTTAACTCGCCGCCCGAGGTTAGTAGATCGAACCCGCAAGTGAAAACTTTGAATGGACAACTCGTTCCCTGAGGTCAGAGTGTGATGCACTAGGAAGAGGTAAGATCACGCAAGAACTCACATGAAATCAAGAATGTGCGGTATTAACATATATATTGGAGCTTATTAATCGTCACACCCATATGGCGTGACCCGGTGGCGCGAGTGTGTGTGTGTGTGTGCTCGGCCAGTGTACACGAGTGTGTGTGCTCGCCCGGTTTACGTGAATGATCGGATATCATAAGTCCGTTTTTCAATGTTAAAATTACACATGCTTAACAAGAGTAAAAGCAATTATACCGCTTTTTTTTAATGTTTCAATTTATGATTTTTTTTGTAAATCTTTTTTTTATAATAAGAAAAATGAGAAATGTGCACTTAGCTTCTTGGGCAGATTACGCTCGGTCAGGTTGTATTTGGAAGAAAGCTATGGATTCTAAGCCCCAGAATTGATCAACACAACTGAATAAGTTCCAAAGAGTTTAGTTGACCAAAAGATTCTTTTTCCCTTCTCCGTTATATACGGCCAACTAGATAGGGTTGTAAACAAATCGAATAATTTTGATTCGATTCGTGATCCGAATTCGAAAATGCCGATTCGAATTCGAGTAAGTAGAATACGAATACGAATACAAATCTATTTTTTGATTCGAATACTTTACGAATACGAATACAATTATACAAATACTATGATATTCGATTCGAATAATATTTGAATATATTTGAATTATATATATATATATATATATATATTATGATATTCAAATCTATTTATATATTTATATATTCATACAATATATACAACTTCTTAAGAATACATATAGTTCAATGTAAAAATATTAATAACAAAATATTCAGGTAAATATTTTGCATATTTTAATTTAAAAATTCTTACTTTACCAGGTCAAAATAGCTTAATTTACAATTAAAATTCTCCATTGATTTATCTATATTGATATTAAATTTGAAGTGACTTCTATAAATGAATTTTGTTTCCTATAAAATATGTAATATGAAAATTAGTTAAAAGGGGAAAACTAACATCATAATTTTAATTATTTTCACAAATTAACTTTAATGTTTTTTGAATTCGAATATTCAAATTCGATTCGAAAAAGATTCGAATATATCAAACGAATCGAATACGAATACAAAATAAGATTCGAATTTTAAACAAATACGAATACGAATATTCGATAATTATACGAATACGAATAATATTATCAAATATTCGGTTCGATTCGATTCGTTTACAACCCTACAACTAGATCAATCTAATAGCTGACCATGCTAGCCATGCCTTCCACCTACCGCCACCAGACATGAAGGCGAGACAGTGAGCTTTGGCCATAAGGGATGTGCCGCCGTCACAGTCATTTCCGGAGAAGTGAGAGGCTAGGAGCAGGTCGTTGGTCCTTTCCGCCATCAAACCTGCTGGTCCTCGCGTACAGACGTCACCGGCTGGTACAGTTGGGCGGTCGAGGTCACCGGAGAGCGGACAAGGAGCGTTGGGTCTGCCGCTGCGAGGGTCGGTTCCGATGGGTTGCATTGTTACTTCCAGTAGCTTCTGGCGGCCATTAATGGCAGATATTTGAGGTTGTGCTCCAGCAACCGGAGTATATGGCCATGGAGGAGGTAACCGTGACCCAGGCTCCAATCACCAGCTGTGAGGGTGACCGACACGGCGGTGGCGCACTGTTTGGAATTTGCTAAGGGAGGAAGAAGATAATATTGAAGTGTTTGCTAAGATTTAATGCATGTCATACGTACATAAGGAAAAAAAAGAACTCACGTAGCCATTTTTTTTGTCAAAGCAACTTGGTTTTCTTTTCTCATTTTTCCTTCTTATAAACTAACATACGTGAGTTCTTGTTTTTTTCCTTGGAGTTGTGCAATCATTGAAGAAATGTCCATACTCTTGACAATTGTAGCACCGAACATTACGAATGTCGAACGTACTCTTCTTCTTGCCGGTGCGGCTGCGGTAGCGAGAAAGCCACTCCTCTTCAGTGAGGAGCAAGCGGTCTCCACCACCATGGTTGTTGTTGTCGACGTCCGCATCACTCCTATCCTCCGCCGTTTTGAGCCTTCCCACAAGCTCCTCCATGTACATGGATTTAAGATCGAGAAGTTGATCAATTGCAATAACTACCTGGGTGTACTTGGATGGCACGATGCAGAGTAATTTCTTCACGACCTTCACCTTCTCAAGGGTCTCACCGAGGGTGCGAACCTTGTTGGCGAGCCCGTTCATGAACATGGAAAGCTCGTCGATCGTCTTGCCGCTCCGCATGCGGACGACATCAAATTCCTTGAGTAGAGTTTGTGCCTTGGCCTCACAGACACGCTCATCGCCCACACACATGGATTTGATGGCGTCCCATGCCTCCTTTGCCGTTGCCTTCACAGCAAGCGTGTAGTGCATCTCCAGTGGTACGGCTCGTAGAATTGCCGCAAGTGCCACCCTATCCTCGGTGAAGCTCCCACCATCCTCGACAACGTCCCACACACTTTGGGCTTCCATGTTCACCTTCATGATGAGCATCCACTCGAAGTAGTTCATCACCGTCAACGTCGGGTAGACGACGGTGCTGCTAGCCTGGTGGACCACACGCTGCTGTACCACCACCTCGCGGCCGCCTCGCCGCGTCGGACTCCGTCCACGTCGTACCGGCGAGCGTGACGGAGTGCGCGAACCTTCGCCTACCATGGCTCTTATACCAAATGTTGGGAATTTGCTAAGGGAGGAAGAAGATAATATTGAAGTGTTTCCTAATATTTAATGCATGCCATACGTACATGCATGCATAACTAGCTAATAACATAATGTAATAATACTAAATGCAAATAACTTAAGGTGCAACTTAACTAATTGACCCAAAATAGACTAACACTAATGTAACGGCATATACGCATATCAGTACCGCTACAACACATGCACGATGTCACTTCAAGTGGCGAGCCATCCTCCGATAGATGAGGGCTTGAGTGAAAAACTCACCCCCATCGTAGTATTGTTTACCCTTTCGGGAAACCCACTCCACGCCAGGCCCATCACACCACTCGTCGATCGAGGACTCGACGACCGAGGACAGCCATTGCTTGTGCTCCTCGGACCGCCATCCCCCTGCCAAGAACCCCGAGATTGCGTCCCCTCGGGCTCTCTCGACGGCTTCAACCTTCGCGGCCTCGGCTTCCTTGGCAGCTTTCTCCAAGGCCTCAGCTGCGGACCTCTCGGCTTCTGCCCTACCCCGATCTGCGGCCTCCGCCCGCAGGGTCATCTGCCGAAGGCTCTCCTCCAGCATGGCCATTTGCCGAACAGCGTCTGCATTCTGGCGGATGAGTTCCCGCATCTTGGCCTCCTGCTCGGCCTTGCGAAGGCGCCACTCCTCTAGCCGCCGGGCTTGCTCCCCGAGGGCAATGCAGGTCTACAAAAACAAAGGGGTTAGCAAGGCCAAATATGGTTTCTTAGCTCGAAGTAAAAAGGAAAGAAATACGCGTAAAGGACTCACTGTGAGGGAGGACCGGAGGATCCTGTCCTCGAGGGCTTCGTCTTCATCAGCCCCGAGGGCTACCCTGTCAATCTCGAGGGTAATGCCCCTCAGAAGCGCCCTCGGGTCGGCCGTACCGTTCATCACGGCCGTACCAACCGGGAGGGAAACCATGAGGACCTCGGAAGATGGCCCCTGAACTCCCGGCGGCACCTTCGCCACCTGCATGTCCTCATCTGCCCCGGGGGCAGGGCCTTCATCAACAATGATCACCGGGGGGGATTTCTTCCCGGCATCCCCGGTCTTGGGCTTCTTTCCCTCGGGATCTCTGCCCGAGCCCTTCCTTTTGGCGGCGACAGCAGCATCAGTGCTTGGGCCCACCGACGGCCCCTCCGGTTTTTTGAAGAAGTCACCGGCGGGTTTTGGGACACCGGCGTCCGTCCCCCTCGGGCCCTTGGAGGGTTTCTTCTTCTTCAAGTCTGCAAGGCCTCTAACATTCATCATTTTCACTGGGACACCTGCAAAAAAAAAACAAAGGAATGGGGTTAGAATCGAGGGGTCGCTGACCGAAGGCACAAAGAACAAAAAGAAAAAAAAAACAAACATGATAAGCTATGTGCTAAGGGACCTCGTAGACTACCTCCTGTTCCCCCGAAGGCCTCAGCAAAAACGGGGTACTTCTCATCCGCTTCACCAATAAACCGGTATCTCCGAAAGCCGAGGGCGTAGAATCCCTTGTCAGCAGTATAGTCTTTGATGGAGACCTGCTTGGTGCGACCCTCCGGGATTTTTGCTATCACCAGGCCGTCTTTTTCGAGGGCGGCGCTCCCAACCTTCGGATGCCGACGGAAGCGATCCCGAAGTTCCGCCGGGAATGGGTTCTCAGCAACCCTGACATAGCACCAGCGCTCCTTCCAGCCCTTGTTTGACGAAGGCGCCTCCGTAAACAGCTTCCACCTGGCCACCTGCTGCAGGTTAGCGAAGCCCTCGGCATTCGCGTGACCCCCTCGACAGAGGTTGAAGCTCTGGAAGAACAAGTCCAGGCTGGGGGTCACCCCTTGGTCCCTACAGAGGTTCAAAAAACCCGCCACGTAGGAATGGTTATTAGGTGTCAGCTGGCAGGGCACCAAGCCAACGAACCTCAGGTACTCCCGGAGGAAGGGGTGCAGCGGGAACCGAAGGCCCATGGAGACCGACAACACGTGTACTGCAATGCACCCTTCAGGCGCCCGAGAGAGCACATCGTCAACTCCCGGCTCGACCACCTCGGCCGAGGGCCCTACATGTAGCTGCGTCACGTAGAGGTCCGCCCTGTCCGCCTTCGACTTTATCTCCAAGGCAGCCGTGTTGAGCCAGGAATACCCCTCCGGCATATCTACGGGTTTCCCCTGATCAGCGGCTATGACCTTCTTCTTGGGGACAGCCGCCTTGGCCTTCTTCTTCCCGGGGGCCACCCGGATGGGAACCGCGTTCAGCGGCTGGGAAGTACTGGCCTCACCAGCACCCCGAGGGGGAAGGACGGCCACAGTGACCTTCGTCCTCTCCTTCTCCTCCTCCTCTTCAGCAACTTGGACGGCGAGGGCCAACTCTTCATCCTCGGCAGTTCGCTCGAATTCCTCCGCCTCGGCCTCGGCCGTCAGATCCTTCTGCACCTCAGTGGCGAGGGCTGCATCACCACAATCCGAGGGCTGACCACTGCTTGACTCCACGTCGGAGATGCCTTCGTCCTCCATCGAGGGCGTCCTCGAGATGTCCTGGGAATCGCTCTCGGACGACATTTTTTATCACGAATAAGCCTAAGACTCCGAAGGCTCTCTACAGGATTCTAAACCTAAACTAAGGCCAGGGGGCGGAACTTACTAAGAACTTTGAGAGAGGAGCAGGGCACTGACCTTGAAAGCAGAGTTTTGACCGAAGGCTGGAGTTTCTCTCTCTAGAAAAATTGACAGAGCTTCACTAACAAGTTTATCGCACACGGAGGAATGCCTGGCCTTGGGGTATTTATAGGCGATGAATCCGGGCTTGGGCCTGGATTCCGGACCTCCGGATGGACGCCATCATTACACACCGCATCTTCGCCCAACCGGTGACGCCGCCCACGGACAGCCAACCATCACACGCCACGTGTGCCACCCCCCCCCCCCCCCCCCAACGGCTATATCCTGTCGTTACATATTCCAACGGCTATATTTCCAACGGCTATATTCTGGAAGCCCCCGGATTTTTCTACTTCACTCCACTTCATCAAGGATAGCCACCGGGTGCACTCACCCAGAAGTGCCCCCGGGTTGCGCCCCACACAGCACATAACCGACGCCTTCGGGATCACTCCCTCAGAAACTCAGGGCTTCATATCAGGAGTCCCTCGGGGTTTCCCCCTCAGCACTGCAAAACCGGGTAGCCCCCGGGGAGCGCCTCATTGACGGATGGCCCATGGCCCTCGGGTATCTTCATCACCACCTCATCAACAAACAGTGGACCCCCCGGTAACAGCTTCACTGTTGCCCTCATCTGGCAGGCCCTCGATCCGTGGATTGAGGGACTCCCCTTCGGCACCACCAGGACATCAGCAGCAAGCCTCTGGCTAATCAACACAGGAGCCCTCAGAGGAGAGAGCCTTCGGCATTCCCGTCATTCTCACTTTGTACCAAGGTTTGACATTTTCGATTCATCATTGGGGGAATTCGGTGCACTCTTTTTCCCTCATTAGGATTTTTTCCCAAAGGGTTTTTCCTAATGAGGTTTTTAACGAGGCATCCCCCCAAAATGAAACGAAAAGCGTCAGCCTTCGGCCCACAACAGCAACGTAATTACTTTACTCCTTTTCACCACTTTACAAGTGCCTCAAGGAGTGGGGGACTGGAGGACCCCTTCGGAAAAATCATTAAATTACAAAATCTGTGAAATTCCAACAAACAACAAAGCAAGCCCTCAAGTCCCGACATGTGGGTAACTGAGGGACTGCCTTCGGCAGGGACATAAAAGCAACAACTCCTCACCAACTTCAGGGATCACGACAGGACAACATCAAAAGGCAAGCACAAATTACTCCTTTTCCCTCAAGTACCTTTCGGCAAAAGGAGTGAGGGACTCCTGATGGAGTATATGGCCCGGGAACCCCCGGCCCACAGACTCCTACTACTCCATCAAAGGCCCAACAGGCCCAACAGGCCCAAATCACAGCGCCCAGAGTACCAAGCAGTCCGCACAACGCACAGGGGTGCCTTCGGCCCCCTGGCCGAAGGCTCCAAATTATCACAGAGCGGGTTTCTCAAGCAAACTAAGAAACTGGGAGAAAACGGCGAAAACGGCAGCCCTCGGTACTGTGAGCCCTCGGCACCAAAGTGCCCTCGGTTGGAGGAGCCTTCGGCTACTGCTCTATAGCCGAAGGCATCTCACTCGACAAGATATCCGCCTCACATGCGTACAGATCACCGTACTCTGCACAGACGTCCCATCCAACAGCCGCATTAAATGCGGCCACATGCGGCTGCCAGCGCCAACCAGTTGAGGTGACCCCTCAGCCAATGAGCGCTTGACACGTGTCCCTGCCCAGCATTTATTGCTGCTATAAATAACACCCCATTTCCTCATTTGTAACCACGCTGAAACGCTCCACATTTATAATACACTCTCTCTCTCTACGTTTGCCTGCTCTGACTTCTCTCTAAATTATTTCCCGTAATAACCCTTCGGATATATACCCCCGGGTAGACTATCCATCACTTGGCATGACTCATCCCACCGTGCACTAACACTCTAGTCTAAAATGCATCAATGACTCAAAATAAACTAAATTAAACATGATGAAATTATAAACAACAAGGTTAACTCCAACAGGCACCACTGTGACGGAGGTGGGTCGGTGTAGCTGGGCTGAGTTGTTGGCTAGTAAAGTTTCGAGAGCCATCTTCCATTTTTTCGAGGCCTTCCGTGTGGACGCTGGTAGCTAGCCTAGATCCAGATCCCCATTGCTTTACCAGACCAAATTTTTCATTCTTTTTTCACATTTTGAATTCCAGACATATAAAACTGCTGCAAACCTCTGATCTTTCCCATTTTGTCTGAAATTTCTTGGTTAATTCCTACCAAAGTGATGAGAGACAACAAAGGCTCGGGCCCAACTTTTGGTGAACCGGCCCGGGCGGTTCGGGCGGGGCCCGGTTCAACTTTTTTTTGTGTTTTCGATTTTTTTTGCTTTTCTAGGTTAGGGTTGGGTGTTTTGGAGGGGTTTGGGGGGGGGGGGGTCAGGTGTTAATTAGAAACCAAAAAAAAATTGAACTTGACCCGAGCCCGACCCGGGCCGATTCCGGGCCCGGCCTGGAACCGGACCGGCCCGAGTCCATCCCTCACTGGCCGTGCACGGGATAAAAACATACTCAAAGTTTAAAATAAATGTTTTAAGAGGTGTTTGTTTGTACTTTTACTTTTGAAGAGTAAGTTACATGTTTTTAGAGATTTAAAGCACACGATAAAAATTAATTTAATGATGTTTGGACTTGATAGAAAATTTGTAAATTATTATATGATCTAATAACATCATTATTCTACGTGGAACCTCAAGTTTGAATCACATCTAATCAAAGATATCTTTATTCGTTGAACAAACTATAATAGATTAAAAGGTTACCTAAATAAAATAATTTGATAACAAAAAGTAAGTTTAGAATGTTTGATTGGAATAGAAACGCTTTGTGAAAAGGAAAAACACTTCTAGACTATATGAACTCCCACTAAAAAATTAAAGATGACGTGTTTTATTTAAATTATTGTAGACATTTCTTTAGCGCCCACACATATATATACGATGTTTTTAATTTTACGGATCAAACTAGTTTAGATTAGATCAGAATTCGACAATTGAAAAGTAATGATGTTAGATGTGATTCAAACTAGTTTAGATTAGATGTGATGTTAGATGTGTTTAAACACTACCTGCATTTTAATAAAGTACCTGCTTAAAATGTATTCCTCTCCGAGGTATGTTTATTTAATAAAGTTTATTTTGCCAAAAAAGTTTACGTTTCTACCATATATATTACGTAGTACTAATGTACCATGGTATTATATACATTAATACTAGGTATTATTTATCCACAATTGGAAACTACTTTCAATAATTCTTTCTTAAATCTTAATGGGAAATTTTGAACTGTCGGACAAAAACTCAGAATCATATATGAATTTACAACCTGTTGCTATCCATCCACAGGAAATCCGTATGAATTTCCATATGTCAGAATTGAATTTCCATATGGAGAGGAATTTAATACAATGCACTTTTATACGGAGAGGAATTTAATACATATAACTCATTGCCTATATATATTGTCATATTTTTACCAATTATCTCTATTTAAAACTTGCAAACTTACAAATTGGTTTCGAGCTTTCCTTCGCAGGTGTTAATGAAAGTTGGAGATTGTATGGATCAGATATATTATGAATTTGGGTTGTGAATCTTAAAAAAAGAGTTGAATAGAAAAGAGTAGGGATGGACCAAATCGGGTCGGCCCGGCCCACCATTGTGCAGGCCCAGCCCGGCCCGGTTACGGATTGGGCGGTGCAAGCTTTTACCCGGCCTGGGGGAGGCTAGCAATCAGGCACGGTTCACAAAAATGTTGGCCCGGCCCGGCCGGTTCGGGCCAATGGCTATATTTTTAAAAAAAAAATCTTTTGGCTGCCAAAGAGGCCCTTAAAGCCGTTGTGATTGAACGAAAACGGCTATATAGCCGTTGGGAGCAATGTTTAGATTACTACTCCCTCCGTCCCTATATAAAAGTATCCATTCATTTTACACACATCTTAAGAAAGTGGGTTTGATTGGTACTGTTTGGACACTGTTTGGCACTGTTTTGTTTGCCAAAAAGGGAAAGGGAACTTTTATTTAGGGACGGCCTGAAAAGGAAACAGATACTTTTATTTAGAGACGGAGGGAGTGTTATGTTTCTTTTAGTAAAGCCGTTGTGATTGAACCATTGCCTATGTACAACGACAAGGCTATAAACCCGAAACAACAATTTCAAGAGATTAGTAATTTATTATATCAATTATTTAATGGATTTCATGCACAATATGGTAACGCACTCTCTCCCCCGCCAGGAACATCTTCTTCATCTAAAGGAAAATCAATTTTGAAATCTGGTTAATGAACAAAGCTCGATCAACGAGCTTTCTTTGTATCTACCATTTCCTGTTGAGTATGAAGAAGGGATGACTTTGACGTTCTTCAGTGGTGGAAGGAAAAAGAGAGAACGTTCCCGAGCTTATCAAAGATGGTTAAGCAAGTGCTAGCAATGCCCGTATCAACAGTTGTTGTGGAACAAGAGTTTAGTGCGGCCGGCAACATCCTAACAGATTAGAGGACAAGATTGAGCGTGAACTCTCTTGAGACGTTTGTTTGCTTTCACGATTGGTTGAAGGCCAAACGTAGAACTCAAGAAATTAGCATTGTACCCACTCGCCACTTTATGAAAGAAACAACTGAAGATGGAAGAAATTCTGATGGATTCTTTTATTCATTAAAAAGTGTATTTCATGTTGTAATTTTTGCTCAATTCCCAATTGTACTACATATTTCATTTTAATACTGTTTAAATTTTTATGCCTAACTAATCTGAATTTAAAAATAAAAATAGCCCGAGTCCAGCTCGGCCCGAACCGGCCCACAACCCGGCCGAGTAGGCCCGACTCGGACCGAACCCGGTATCACCCCGGGCCGGTTCCGGACCCATCATTGAACAAAAAAAGCCCGCCCGGAACCGGAACAACCCGGGTCCATACCTAGAAAAGAGTACCGATATACGGATCGGAGTATGTGAATATGACCGGTGGAGAAGTTAGGAAAACTCACCCCAGAAGATTAATTTGCTTTGGCATTCCTTCTCCACCAGCTTCCAGGACGAGTCTTCCCAACTTTTTTGAAAGTTAGAGACTCAAAAGTTCTTTTTTTAAACATAGCATTTACACTGCTTTACAGATTGAAGAGTTTAACTTGAGTCTCCAGGCCAAGCATATTAGTTTAACGTACTCCAGCTACTAGATGCAGTCCACCAAAGCAACCATCCTTAAAATAGGGCATATAAGTTGAACTCCAGCTACTAGATCTAAGTCCAACAAAGTAATCATCTTTAGAATAGGGCATTTTTAAGATAACAACGAAATACCAAATAAGTTCACCGAACAAATGGGTCATTGAGTTGACGCTTAATGAAAAGCTTTTATGCTGTTTTGAAATAAAAATACACCATATATGACTAGCTAATATGAGTTTAGGAGCAACCTGAATATCCTAACGAGTTGAGCTCCTGCTCCCTGGTTTTCTCCCTGCAGGCCATACAATTAAATGTTTTGATAGTTAAGATAGACTAGTTCATGAAGTTTGCACATTAAATTAAGATTATTTTTTTATCCTTATAATAGTATAGATTGATATGCACACGTTCTGTCCCTAAATTAGATTCCAGTTTACCTTGGTAAGATTATCAAGAAAATGAATTTCTGTGATTTGAGATTTATTTAGACAGGCAGAAGAACAATAGGATTGTTTTCCTAAAAGATCAAGAGAACTCTTACAAAAAAAAAGATCACCGTTGTTTGAAACAGATAAACTTATTACATTATTAAGTAAAAATAAACTTGAAACCTACCAACACTCCTTAACGGTTGCGTTGTACAGATAATACAATCTTTTTTATCCATTGTATCATAGCCATCATCACCGCACTCATAGGAGTTTAGACACTCTCACACAGGTCTTTTGGCCCCAACCTCATTTTCCTCATGCCCCCACCCTACGAGGCATATTGCATGCCCTTTTATATTCCTTGGTTGAATCCTAAACTCTCCTAGCAAGGGAACCACAATGATATTTCGTTCTATAGTGTTGATTAACCCTTTTTTATTGGATAAAAACCCTCCATATAACGAACATAAAATTTCTTGGCCTACAAATAAAAAACATTAAAAAATTAATAAAATAGTATTCAATAAATAATCAGGTAATAAATGATTATTATTACTGTAGGAGGATAGGAGTTGGTGATAACGTCTCGAATTCTCTCCTACAATGCCATTATAGTGTATGTATATGAGGAAACTAGAAATGATTTTGTGTGTAAGGTAATTGAAAATGTGCAATAGGTGATGAAGAAAAGTTGGGTAGGTTTATTTTTCCATGCCGGCAAAATGTTGAATTGAGATGTCATCTCTGTATACACGGCATGAGAGATGCATGTTTCTGTGAACATACAAAACCTTTACATTATTACTAGGTTAGATGATTCTTTTATGCATTCAAGTGTTTTCTGGAAGTAATGAAATTAACATATGCCTTGATCTGATATACTGTTGCACATTAAAGTATTTTCCTGGATTCTATCTTACCCTCTTTGGTGACAAGAAGAAATTAACATATCTTATTATTGTTATTTCTTTTTTATTGGGCTAATAATTTATTTTTCTTCTCCGGTAAACAGTCTTATCTTCTTGGTTTTTTATAGTTATTAAAAGAAGCACTGAACTGTGCTTATATAGATTCTTCTGGAGGAAGAAGTGATGAAAAATTTATGTAGTATAAAAAATCAAGAAGATAAAACTTTTTACCGGGAAAGAAAAACACATTATTAGTCTTTCTAAACATTATTGATGTCTTAACAATGTTGCCCAATAAAAAGAAAGAACAATAATAAGAAGTGCAATTTTTTCTTCTTGCCACCAAAGAAGGTAAGATAGAATCTAGAAAAGCATTTTAATGTGCAACGATATATGAGGTTAAGGGAAAAGTTAATTTCATTACTTCCATAAAACACTTGAATGCATAAAAGAATTGTTTAATCTAGTAATAATGTCATGGTTTTGTATCTTTACATAGACATGCATCCCCCTCATGTGCATATAGTGATGATATCTCAATTCAACATTTTGGCAGCCTGGAAAAACAAAACTCCTCCCCAACTTTCCTACGTTACCTCTTACACATTTTCAAGGACCTTACACACAAAACCATTTGCAGTTTGCTCACATACATACACTATAGGATTCATATGACCTTACCACCAACTCCTATCCACTTAAGGTAATAATAATCATTTATTACCTAATTATTTATTGATTACTATTTTATTAATTTTTTAATGTTTTTTATTTGTAGTCCAAGAAGTTCTATGTTCGTGAGATGGACGATTTTCATCCAAAACAAAAGGGTTGCATCAACACTATAGAACGAAATATTACTGTAGTTCCACTGCTAGGAGAGTTTAGGATTCAACCAAAGGATATAGAAGGACATGAAGTATTCCTCGTAGGGTGGGGGCATAAGAAAGATGAAATTGGGACCAAAAATCCTGTGATGGAGTGTCTAAACTCCTATGAGGTTGAGTGGGGTGATGATGGCTGAAACAATGGATAAAAGAAGATTATATTATGTGTACAACGCAACCGTTAAGGGATGTTGGTATGTTTCAAGTTTATTTTTACCTAATAATGTAATAAATTTATCTGTCTCAGGAAACAATGATTTTTTATTTTTATTTTTTGCAAGAATTCTCTTGATTTTTAGGAACAGAATCATATTGCTCTTCTGTCATGTCTAAATAAATCTCAGGCCACAGAAATTCATATTCTTGATATTCTTGTCAAGATAAGCTGGAATCTTATTTAGAGACAGAATGTGTGCATATCAATCTGTATTATTATAAGGATAAAAAAAATAATATTGGCTCAATGTGCAAACTTCATGAACTAGTCTATCTCAACTATCAAAATTGATGTCCTTTATAATTGAATCATTCTAATTTCTATCGAAGCGTTCATCCAATTACAAAAATAGATAATTGTCAATCGCAAAGAAAATCAAATTTAAAACAACAGAAATGATGACTTGATGAGATATCAAATTCCCAGACTTCAGAAACAGATTTAAGCATTAAAGCATTGAAAGACAATTGAAAGCACTCTCTTTACATTCAAGATCCTCTTTTTTCCTACTCTAAAAAAAGATCCCTTTTTCTCATGAAGTCTTGCAGAAAAACAAAATGCGTGATAATACGAAATTCGAGAAAAAGAGTAACCTTGGGGTAAATATCGAGTGATACCAACATAGAGGGGATTTCGAGATGATGCCAACGAATGAACCCAAGAACACGAAAATGATAGAAAACGCGAAATTGTGAATTGATAGAAAAATTGTACCTTTGTGGCGAAAGAACACGATATTACAGTGGTAGAATTACAAGATGCGAAGCAGATGAGAAGAAAATGAGATCAAGATGAGAAAGATGAGATCGAAAATGACTAACAAAATTTGATCTTTGGCATGAGCAAGTTTGAACAGGATTCTTCCAACCAACTCATGGTGTTTTATGATGTTTTGATATACGAGGGTTGACTTATATTGCAAGCCTATGGGCCAGAATTTGTATGCGTTAATGCGATCTAACCCGGAATTTATAAGATAAAGAGTGGGTGCCCAACTAACCTAAAAATTTGTTTAGTGTATTTAGTACGAAATAGGTTATGCGTAAGAGGTTAGACCATACCAATTCAGACCATACCAAACTTCAATAGTTATGAGACATTACTAGACCAAACCAATTCAGACCAAACCGAACTAGCAAACTAAAGTCCAAGTAAAAACATCCTTAGTGCCAAACTACTAGAACACCCCTCCCGTGTACGGTTCGTGAAATTTCCGGAGTATATAATTTCAGTCAAACTTATAATTTTATATGAAACTTTTAAAATTATACTCACAAAATAATAAAATTTTAAGTAAAATGAACATTATATATGATTTACCAATGGTTACATCTCATGTAAATGTTATGAACATTTCTAAACACAATAATTTCGATTTCGATGTTCAATATCATTCATCATGTGCAATGTGATTTTTTAATGCTCAGTAATTAGTTACCTTTGATGCAATCTCGTAGAGTTGACCATGACTAAAAATCGTTTTTTTTTACAATAAACCAACACAAAACAACAAATGTCTTTGACTACATTATTGTCTATTCTCTATCTTTTCTTTCAATGGTATATTTATTTTTAACTACATTTGATTCATAATGGTGAATAAAATGTAAGATCTAGACATTGTGTTTGACATTATTAATATAAAGACTGAAAATCTCACTAACTTTTAATATCAAAGAGATATAATTACACTAATTAATTTTTTGTCTATCTCTCACATTCCATGAATACACTTTCAACATTTTAACATTGGAGATGCTATAACCCCTATTAAAATAACTCCTAATAAAATTAATGTTCGGTTAACAATTCACCCACGTGATGCAATTTTTCCATTTTCAGAAGTTGGAAATAATCTCAAAATAATATAAATTTAAAATTTGATACCAGAATTTTTCCTAAAATAATCTCGCATAGTCTCATCTTCTTAATGATAATCTCAACAAAAATCTTCCACATCATCAAATTAATCTCGAAATAAACTCAACAATAATAGTAAATTGATTTTGGGGAGAAGTTCCCGCACAAAGACTACAGTAAGGGCCTCTGCGCATGCGCCTCAGTGCTACAATGTGCACGGTGCACGTGTGACATAAGAGAGCCACATAAATATTAATAAATAAATTAACTCTCTCCTTATTTGAATGAATTTATATAATTTTGGTAAGTTTTTCTTGACAATGTCAGACACAATTGTCTACATCTAGCCTGTCTCCTTGACATTGTGGGAAAAAACATACCAAAATTGTATAAACCAATTAAATAAGGAGAGAGATCATTTATTTACCACTACCTCCGCCTTACTAACATTGGGACGGAAGGAAGTGACACGGTTATTAAGAAAAGTTGATTTATGTGGTTGATATTGAATTGATAAATTAAGAATGATTTAGAGCCAAACAAACTTTGCCAAATTTGGTATGGGACAATCTTAGTGGAATGGACCACGATGACAAAATGGGACAATCTTAGCGGGACAAAAGGAGTAATATTTATGTGGCTATTTCACATGGCACATGTGCTCCGTGCACATTGTAGAATTGGAGATGCTTTCAATCATCATTTTCATTTACCCCAGTGCCGCAAAGGCTCCCACCTACGGTGGGGTAAGGGAAGGTCGGATGTACGCGGTCTTACCTCTGTACTAAAGCACAGAGAGACTGTTTCCGAATGACCCATAGTGAAAATCGCGTCCAAAATTGCATGGATTGACTAATGCTCCATAACACAAAAGCGCAGAAAGTTTAGTGAGCCATTTTGCTTTATTCCATCACAATCTCAGGCCAAAAAAATAATGAATCTTTGGCTCCATTGCAAATGATGGAAAATAATCGCAGACAGATGCTTTCAATATAATAACCTAAATTATAATTTCGTGATGTGGTGTTAGTTTTAACTCTTCCAATACCATGTAATATATACTTTCTCCGTCCCGATTTGATTTGCAAAATTTCTTATTTTGGTTGTTCCAAAATGGTTTTTCACTTTCTATTTTAAGTATATAAATAAGAATAGGGGTGGGAAAAACCGGACCGAAACCCGGAAACCGACCAAAACAGGCTCTAAGATCTATAACTCGATCCGAACCAATAAAAACCCGAAACAATTAACATTATAATAAAATCAATATTATATACGAATCGAATTTATTAAAAATTCTTAATATATGATTATAATCATGGTGGATGAAAGAATGACTTAGTAACTCTTAGTGGCTACAAATATGTTCAATTTTGTATACAATAATGATCATGAAAATATTAGTCTCCTAATCAAAAATACAATCCAGAATTGTTGGTGATTTAGGAGACTAAAATTTGTGTTATTATTTCCGAATTGTATTTTTGAATACTTTTATTTGAAAATTGGTTTTAAATAATTAAAGAAAAATGAGATGATTTAACGTTCGGGCTTTAACCAGCTCCACCCGAACCCGAACCGAACCCGAATTACCAAAAACCCGACTCAGACCGAATATAATGGACTTTGTTCCAATGCCTAATTCTCATAACCCGAGGCCTTACGAGTAATTTCCGAGTTTTGCAAAGCCCGACCCAGAACAGACCGATCCTATTCCTAAACTTAAAGGCGTCTACTTTTAGGTAAATGTGTAAAAGTGTAAAAAAAACATCATTTATTGTCATTCCTAAATTCTTATGCCAGTCAATTTGGGGCGGAGGGAGTACGATCTTGGTAAAATGGAGTAGCAATTAAGAACTACATTGGCCAGCTAAACAATATTGCCCTGTCAAATTTATTATTGTTTATCTTTTCAAGATATTGAAAGAAGAAAGACATGTGGACAATAGAACGACATTCCATTTTTCCTTCAAAAGTAATGTGTTGCATAATTCAGGCATTTTATATAACTATATATAAGACCCACGTATATCTATATCTCACGCAGGGCTTAAAGCCAAATAGCCAAGATGAAAATTTGTGGGGAGCTCCACTATAACCTATGTTTGGATGCCGTGAATTTATAAACTTTATGACCAAAATTCATCATTTCAAACCAGAGTATATATACCGTACCCAGACAAATTGGTTCAAATTTGTTCTGTGTATTGGTTCCAACCACCAATCATGTATTATAAATCATGAACTTTATTTCTTGGTTGATACTACCTTCGTTCTTAAATAAATGCAACATGTTGAATTTTACATTATTCACATGTTCTACTTTGATTAAGTTTTATTTATTCATGAATTAATGTATATTTTTGGAAAAAAATACTGTTATATTTATCTCATTGTAAATTTTCAAAATCTATTTTTTTTAATTTTTTAATAATAGATAATAAAGTATATTAATGATCAAAGTTGTGTCTTGGCAAATGTGAAATGTTGACTGTTGCATTTATTTAAGAATGGATGAAGTATTTAATAACGTCATGTGGTTTCAGAAAACTTCATCTTTAATGAAGCTGTGAATAAATGAATTCATGGCTACTTTTGAAGATCCCTGGACGATAAGGAGAAAAGTAATCAGGAACTGTATTACATACCTAGCTTTTTACATGAGCGTTGCGTGATTGAGTATAATGCCCTACATATATATAGAGGGAGAAATGATCTGGTCAGGCGTGATCCGCCGTGCGGACTTGCCTGTTTGAGGGTCTTCCCGATGGAATTTTATGATGAAAATTTTTGAGCATTTTCCTCATCAAATCTAGTTTATTCATACCAAATTTCAGCTCAAAATTCAATCGCAAAGGCAATCAAACATATTGCGCTTTATATACACATATATACTACCTTCCCGCTCAAATTTTGAGCTGAAATTTGGTATGGATAAACGACACTTGATGAGGAACATGCTCAAAAAATTCCATCAAAAAAATCCACCAGGAAGACCCTCAAACGGGCAAATCAGGCGCGTCTGACAGGATCATTCCTCTCTCTATATATATATAGAGAGAGAGAGAGAAAAGATCAAGTCAGAAGTCCCCCTTAAAATAAGAAGTGAGAAGTAATCTCAACCTTTGGATATGCATCTAATCTTACAACGCAATAAACTTATAGACCGAATATAAGAACTTATAACCAATAAATCATAACTTATAAAGTTCTCTATCATAATCACGGAAATGCCAACGCGTCAAAAAAATTTGAAGGTTTCTGGAGTTATTTTGTGCGGTGGCAATTTCATAATTATTTTCGAGGGGGTCTATAAGTTATAATTTATTAGTTAAAAGTTCGTGTTTTTAGTCTATAAATTAAACTTCGCATTTCTCAACCTAAGGGCACTTCTCACCTAATCCGCTCCCTATATATATAGATATATATGAATGCATTTTCTTAATCTTTGATGGGGATGAAAGTGAACTATTGAAATAACATATAATGAGAACAAACCACTATATAGGAGTTTGATTAAGCATCCAAACATAAGTCTATCCGTGGCTTATAGCTTAAACTCTAATTCAGATAAGTCCATCCATGGCTTCAACTCGAATTCAAATAGCAACAAAGTAACACTTACTAAAGTAATCAGAGACAAAATTGCTTACAAGTTGAGCTTTGAGGTAGCAAAGATATCTCATCCTAAAAAGATTTGGGTAAGCTAAGATAGAGTTAAATGGACTTGGCTCCACCCAAGTCCAAGGGCGGAGCGCAGGGCATTGGACCAGACAATGTCGGTACAAAGAATATTTTTGGGTAAAAACTTACACGAAATCTTTTACCTGAAAAAATAAAGCATTTTTTAAATTTGGGGTGGATCAGGGTCTAGATTGGCCCTCCCATAGCTCCACCCTTGGCAACGCTTAATGTAGCACCCAGTGTCAAAAGAAACGCGAGATTGCTAATTCAAAATGTCATTTAAAATTTGTAGTAGCCAAACTTTAAAACTGGTAAGAAATGAAGAGCATGTCACCTTAGTTTCAAAAAATGGAAGAACAAAAAAGCGCGTGAAAAATAAATTAAATTTTATACCTGTGCAAATGGTAGGAATTGGAGGTCACTTGGATATCCCTGAATTGTTATATAATAATTTAAAATATTCTAAATTTAACCCAGCAGTTGAGTGTGACACAATAATTGTGTGACGATTATTCTAAATACTTGTGTGACAAAATTTAAGCCATAAATCTATAATATTTGTGGTTGAACCCAGCAGTTGAGTGTGACACAAAATAATTTCAAATATTCTAAATTTAAAAGCAAGTAAATCTTAAAAAATAACCTACTAGAATGATTTCAGAATTGATATTAGAGCACTTACTGCTATCTTAATAGTCATGAGAATACTTCCACCATAAATTACTTCAATGTTGTGTGTCAACCGTACTCCCATTTGCCCACCTTTCTTCCTGAAAATTGCAACCATCTAATTTAAACGACATATACATATGCTGTCCACTACCAACTTAACAATGTAAAAAATGAGATAAAATACAGGATCTCTGGCATCCATTACATGTGAGTCATCAAACATATCTTTCTATATACAAACAGCCGTGGAAAGCCAAGTCAATTTCCCGCCCAAACATACATGTTTTAAATGGTCGGGTCAGGTCTAACGGGTCAGACGGTTCAACAGTGGTCATAACGCAGTAGTGCATTTAATAGTTGAAACAGGGGTCAAGTCTTGAGTGAAATAATGAATTAAATATTTGTTGCTTTAACAGGCTGTATGGGGATGCAAGGAATGCATTAATGGTTGTAGCATTGTGTCTTTTCAAAACTTTTTGACCATTAATTGCCAACTCGCATAACAAAAGCATTTACATTACAGAATCTGTACTTTCATATCTTCTTGAGCCGCCCAAAATATTAAATAAGATCTTCAAAGCACATTGCCATTAATGTTATCAAGTGTTATTGCCTGTTGGATTAATAGGCTTACTCAGCCAGTTAAATTGCCATCCCACATTCACAAATCATCACAGTAACATAGGTAATATTTCAGTGGCACAAAATCAAGGAAGGTACTCATTCCTCAGAGACGTTGATCACACCAGTGTTGGGCTATCAAATTGAAGGTGGTGAGGGCTTATTAAATGCCACTGCAGTCCTGGGGTGGAAAATGAATGGAATTGGTGTTCGTTGACTTACAGGTTGGTTGACACCATTTACTCATGAATGAAATGTATTTCATCATGTCATGCAGTATTAAGAAATGTTTATTCATTATATGTAATGAATGTAAAGGGTTCATTTAATCATTATATCTTAAATAAAACTTAAGAAAATAAGCATGTTATAAAAGTAGTTTTGTATGTGTATGCATACATGAATATATGCGCGTATATAAAAATAGATAGGAAAACTGTTCTCTTATAATGGGAAACACTTCAAATCCAAATAAGTATATGTTAATAAAAACTACTTTCTTCATGTATACATAAAGAAAAATAGGTTTATATCGTATAACAGTTGAAAGAGTAGATTTGTTACAACCGGTCTATTCTTCTCAAAGTTTTAAGAAACAGGGGTCTTCATTTCGTATGTGTCACATATGTGATATGCATATTTATTATTCCGACCATATTTAACAAATCCATCTGTTTATGTCCATCAAAAACCAAAAATGTCATAATCTTATGACATATCTGTACCCCAGAATCAAAATACAGACAGATTTGTTGCTTCATCACTGATTTAATTTACTTCAAAAATCATCAATTTTACATATTCAGATCCAAACAAAACAAATTGCATGTTTCAGATCGAATTAGATAACAAATTACTGAGATTAATATATAGAACTAATAGACATATACCGAAAATAGAGTTGAAAATATGACAAGATTGTTCGCTACAGTCCGCTGGCAACGAGAATACACAGGTAGTATACCCGTAAAGCGTAAAGCTCGGTCTCCGCCGGAGGAGTCCAATCATCCACGATAAAAGTAAAAAACACAGGAATATTGTACGATCTACCCAAATAACGAAAGGATTCGTTAGGTTTGGGATCATTTGATTATCACTCAGCCTTTGTAACAGTGGACAAAAGGCATGATCGGACAAACATACACTAACTTCACACTGGAAAAAATTTAATCAATTGAATATATACCTTAAACAAAATGATTTAAAAGTGCATGCAATAAAAATTAATAAAACAGAGTAATCGTGTACTACCGACATGATGAAAGGAAAATTAGGTACAAGATCCTTTGAAGCTCACTCACCCTTCGTAGCCTTAACAATGGTCGAATAAGGCTTCATCCGACAAATATACACTCTCTTCACAGTAATGGGACGAGTCAGTGGTGGTATGAGATTACAGACGACAACAGAAGAAATTTGAGAAGATGGGAGATGATCGTAGAACGTAGGAGAAGATCATAGGGTAAATGAGAAAATGAGAAAAACGTAGGGTAAATGTCGTTTATATAGTGCGGTTTAGGTTGAGGCTGTTGGGCTGTATTCATTGTGTAATTGCGCCTACAACTCTTTTTTAAACCAGATTCGAAATTGGGCTGGGTCATATATATGATCCCAATTCTTAGACGTTTAAAATTATCATTTTAATAATTGTTAATTATTAAAAATTGTTAATAATTAATAACAATAATTCTTAGTATTTATAATAATTGTTAATAATTAATAGTAATTGTTAATAATTATTGGTTTTATCTAATTTAAGGTGTATTAAATTTGGATTTATAAATATATAAAATTTAAATATATGTTGCAGTGTGAAGAGTTATCAATCACAAAGGTTGAAAATATTGGTATGTAATAAGGATGATAAATAGATCGATCATACTACTAATGTTGTTCACAAAGAAATCTTTCAAGATTTGTAGTTTAGCTATGAACACTTATTATTTTACTTACCTCTGTACTTTCAAATGTTATATCTGTTTTATAATATTTACATTTTCCTTTTCAACGGTGTCATATTTTTCCTTAACTATGAACATTTATTATATTACTTAACACATTATTCTAAGTTCAATTATTTATGTGTTTTTATAATAGATTTCTTAAACAAAAATTGGTAAATTTTCATCCGTACATCGCACGTGTGAGAGTCTAGTATTTATAAAAAAGGGTAATTTGAGATTACACCCCATTTTATTGTCTAAATTGGACTTTGTACCCCATTTTAAAAAACTTTTGCATTTGCACCCCAACCCCTTATGAAAAGACAGCAGTACCCCTCCATTTACAATTTTGTTAGCCTTCAACATATTCCTTATCAAAGGGCATCTTTGTCTTTGATAAGGGATTGGAGGAGCAAACACAAAGGTTTTTAAAAAGGGGTGCAAAGTCTAATTTGGACAAAAAATATGGGGTGCAAACTCAAATTACCCCTTATAAAATTGTTTACTCTAGCGGTGGTTCTTCAGCCGTAATAGTGACTGTCGGTGGGTACAAAAATTGTGAATTAGAATGCCTTGCCAGAAAAATAAATCTGCAATCATCCAAGGTTTAGTTCTTTGTTTCCATAGTTATCCGTGGAAATTTAATTGGACAGAGCTTAAAAAAAGATAATAAGTCTGTTTATTAAAAAGATAAAATTAGAGAAATGTAACAAAACCTTCAATTTTGGATTGTTGTATATGTGTGCATTTTTCACATAAAAATGAAAAATGTTCCATATGTTCGCATATAAAACAAAAATATTATTCAAAATAGAAATCATTAAGTAGATTAAAAAATTTCTCGAGTGGATTGGCATTTCAAATTGAAATACTTAATTTTACTTTATTCGAATTGAAGTTAAACACTTGAACACCAACGAAAGAAGGAAAAATGTAATGAGTCATATATACAGATCTGCTAGATCTGTAGGTTGTGTATGTAGCAGATTGAATAGAAGTCTAATTAGGTTATTAAAAAACATTTATTCGATGAGATGGTGTTGTGCGGTATAGGGATTTTGTTCTTACAGTTGTCATATAATTCTGAATGCCGGACGAGACGGAGCTCGGGGCTGTCACAGCAGCGGACATGGCGGAAACAATAGGTTGATTCAGGGCTGGAGGTTTAAGATGCTATCTTCCACAAGGGGTAGGGAAAGGCTGCATGACTGCCTTGGACCGACCATCGGGCGAAGAAGTGAAGGGTCTTCTGTGACTGGCTGGAAAGAATAGTCGTATGGATTTGTTTTGCTGTGAACTTGATTGAAAGAAGAGTCTTGTGTAGTATTCCAACGTGTAATAATACCATTTTTTAGGCTTAAAACACTTTCATATATGATGGGCTGCTTATGAATGGTCCGGTCCATTCAAATGGAAGGGTTATCATTTGTGGTAATATCCCGTTATAGCCACTTTTACCATTAGCATTTCGTTTATGACCCACACGATTTTTTTCATTTTTTGACTTTCATATTTTCACTTTGGTAATTTTATTTCAAAAATAGCCAAACTAAGTCAAAACCATATACGGGCCTTATCTACGCTCAGGTCCTCCGCCGCTCACCTCCCTCCCCTTTCAATCGCAAAAAGCATTACCTCTGCACAGATCGAGACGGAAAGCTCCAAGCCGTCATCGTCGTTGAGAAGCTCAACACAACGCTTCAACACCTATGAGAAGCTCAGCGCAGCGTTTAAACGCTGACGAGAAGCTCAACGCAGCGTTTGATTTCAATCACCCCCTCTGTCCAAGCATCTCAGACTTGAGCCATTTGATCATCAGCTCATGAGTTAGATTTTCTTCTGGTGAAAGTATATATTTCAGGTTTAAACTATTTCATATTTTTCTTCATGTGAATCAATTTAATTTCCCTAAAAAACCAAGAGACAGTGTGTTGTCATCGACATTAACAATTCGATTTGCGAATTAACTAGATATATTAACTTATTTTGCTATAAAACATCGTTTGATTTTTTAATTCTTCGTATGTGGACTGCTCTTTAGATCTTCCGTAGATTTTACATTTCTTTTACTTTCAGATTTGGATCATGTTTTCGCATATCTTCAACGCTTGTTTGAAAATAACTCTATCGTGTTGTATATTTTTGTGTGTTTTGTCATTTCATGAACCTTAATGCCTACATCTCTCTCATTAGATCATGTAGCAGTCTCAGAAATTGCATTCAGAGGAGTAGACAACAATAGAAACGTACCGTCAAGCCTGAAGGAAGATTTGGCAAGACGCAGACATCTTGGTCAGACGCACAAACTCCGTTTCACACACACACTAAGAGAAGGGAACCGAACAGCACACTATCTGGCACAAGAAGGTTTATCAAGCGCAGGAACAGAAACATTGGAGTATGAATCAGGAACCCCGCAGAATTCTGAAACTTCATCGCACAAAATCAAGGCCCTAGGGTTACGACAAATCATTTATTCTCATTCCTTTGGACTCCTTATCTATTTTGGACGCAAGCTGCTTTTCATATGGGCCCGAAATAAGGCCTACAGCATCTTCTTTTGTTTTGTAAAATTTAGATTTAACTCACCTTTTTGTAATTCGAATCTGAATTATTAATAAATCATGGTAAATGTAACCCGACCTTGACCACACTCAAGAGTGTTTTTCGGGTTAAAAAAATGATGTCACAGTCTCTTTGAGAAAAAATCAGTAACATTCAGTTTGTTATTAGATGAGGTAAGCTTTTTCCTAAACTCTTCACAAGTATTCTCTAATTTCTGCAATGAGTTGTCTTTAGCAAACAACTGTTCACTCAAAATTTTCAATTTAACTTCAATCTCCCTCTCTCTGTAATGCACATTTTATAATTTAAATTGTTTTATTTGCATTCATCCTCGAAGCTCATTTTAAAACCCCTATAGAACTTGAGAAGCATTTCCTGCCCCAAACAGCCTTTCATAAGCATATTCAACCTGTATTTTTTTTTCTTCAACCTATATTTCTAAGCATAATAATTGTTGTTGCAACACATGTTTCAGGTCTTCTTCACTTTGTTTTGATTGAGAAAGCTTCTTCTCTGGATCTAGTTCATTTGCCAAGGACTTTTCAGCATTGCAAAACATGCCTCTGATGCTCCACATTGTCCATTTTTTATCTTTGCATTTGGAGTTAAAAGAGTAGCTAGTTTGATAATTTCAAAAGTCTTGCATTGTCATCATATTGACTTGTCATTAAGTGCAAAACATGCCTCTGGCACTTGCTGTTTTGATATCCTCTACTTAAGCTAATGCAGGGTTACTGTCTCGCTCGGATGGGATAAAATCAATCTCTGGTGCAGAATTACCTCAAATTGACTTTCTTGATCATTGGAATGAAGGAAATCAAAAAAGTATGCAGATTTAGATGCCAAATTCAAAGAGTCTCCATTGCTTAAACAATTGATTAAGAAGTTCAATTTGAATAGAGAAAAAATGGCAGATGATCAAGACGAGTATTATGTTCATGGGGCTTATGGTCTTAATTGGTTAATTATATCTTATTAATCTATGTAATGAGATTTTATTGTTAAACACTCTTTGGCTTGTAAAAAAAATCAATAGGAGCAATTATGATAAAGGTGGCATCATTTTTGACAGTCATGTATGCACAATTAAAGATATGCAAAAACATTATCGTGTTGCTTTTTGTTTCATCTGTTGTTGCATCATGTTGTTTATTGTTGCATCGTGTTGCTTATTGTTGCATCATGTTGTTTTTTGTTGCGTCATGTTGAATTTTGATTTTCGTTGTTTTTAAGATATATATTTATCTTTGTTATTTCTTTGATATAAAACTCATATACATATATAACCGAAATGATAAATTTGGACATATGAATATTAAAAACAACAAGAAAAATGAAGAAACAATAAAAAACAAATATGTTGAAGTTATCAACAAAAAGAAACACAAAGAAACAATAGGAAACAAAAACTAACAAGAATATGATAATAATACATACTAATAAAATCTATTCTTAAATAAATTTTACGTAAAAAATTAGCATTTTTTAGTATTTTCAATTTTTTAATGTTCTTTATTTTAATTTTTCATATTTTATTATATGAATTTATTTTAATTATAAACTATTTTAGGTTACATTAGTTTTTTGATTATTTATAACTCTATGTAATACTACGTACTTGTTTATTTTTATTATAAACTGTTTTATGAATGTTCTTGAGTGTTTTTTCTTATATAAATTTAGTTTAAATATTTTGAACGTTTCAAATGTTATACAGTATATTTATTCAAATTTTTTAATAAGATGCATATTTCCAAGAATTTCAAAATAATATCTTTTTCACAAAATTTTCTAATTACTTTTCATTCGATTTAACAGTTTCAATTTTTTATCTTATTATAAAAAAATCATTTATTATTATTATTACTTTTCACTATCTTGTAAGTAGTTTTGTAATTAAAATTTCAATATACATTTTATATGAATTTTATTAACCATTTTAAATTTTACATCAGAAAAATCTTATTTTGTACATTTTTATACTTTTCCCACATATT